CGTCGTGCTCGGGATGAAGTCGCGGCACGTGGCCCTGCTGCTCGCCGCCGCCGTCTTCGCGGCCGCCGTCTCCGTCACCGCGGCGAACGTGGTCACCCTCCTACTCCACTCCTCCGACACCTTCCCTGTCGAGGACACGGCTGGCATGGAGGGCGTCGAGGCGGACGCGGCGACGATCGCCGACCACCAGCGCTACTTCTTCTTCCAGTCCATGTCCACCGTCGGCGCGCTCCTCCTCCTCGTCGTGCACGGGCCCGGCCCCCTCTCCGCCGATGAGCAGGACGGACCCCTCGAGTTTGCGTCCGAGAAGACGGTGGCCTGAGAAGGCGGCGGCGCAGCTGGGACACACCACCGCATCTTGCGGGCGCCTCCAACCCAATCTCCGTCCCGCCGCCGTTAGTCTGGAGGGGCGCATGCCGGGCAGGGCGCGGCTAGCCGCCCCCCCCTCCCCCCCCGCCTCGCCCGGCGCGTGCGCTGAGACTAGCTGCCGCCGCCGCCGCTACAGCGAGTGAGCGTCGGGGCCGTCCGAAGTCCATGAGCGCTGTGCCTGCGGGGGGCTAGCCTGGGGACATGTGTCGAGACCTGCTTGAAGGCTGTAGTGTGTAGAGAAGCGTGAGTGCCCGGGTGGCGTGACAACTATGTTCTATGTGTGAGGCAGGGAGGGAGTCGGGAGTCGGGAGAAGGAGCGCGTATATAGGAGAACAGACATCTATAAACTTTTTCTTTTTGAGCTAGACTTCGATGTTACTAGAAACAAGCGAAGGCACACACAACATGACGCCAAACACACGATTGCACGCACCGCGCCGCACCCAGCACCCGCGCCCGCCGCCTCCCCGGCCCCCGCCCCGCCCAGGTGGGAAAGAGACGGAACAGGAAAGGAGCGGAACGAAAATACGTGTGCAGGTTGGAGCACTTGGAGTGCAGTCATTAGCCTCACATCCAGGGCCGAGGAGCTAGAAAACCGTTTTTTTTTTCTTTCTAAACCCCAAACTGGCGGCGCCGCTTCTGCGGAGCATGCTGGAGCGGTACAAGGTCACCGTCGAGGAGCGAGTCAACCTGAAGCACGTCCACCGGCGGCTGCAGGCGCCGCGCCTCTGCCGCCTCTCGGCCACCGCGGCAGCGAGTTTACTGCCTCCGTCTCGGTCAGGTGGTTGCCAAGCTTCTGATCGTCGCGACCTTTGTCGAGGACGCGCTGCGCGTGCTCTTTACCTTTGGGGTACAGCAGCAGTCGATGGAGATCGCCGGGTGGACCTCTCCCGCGCTGCACACGCTGTTGCCGCTGCTGTCGCTCGCCGTGCAGTCGTGCGGCGCGCTGCTCGTGCTGGCGTCTTCGGGCGTGGGCGGAGAGGTGGGCTGCTACCTGCTGCTCGGCTGGTGCGTGTGGCACCCCTTCATGTACGGCCAGGCC